TCTCTCACCACCACTACTAACCCTAACCTACTACGTACGTTGTTCGTTCTCTCTCTCTCTCTCTCTCACCACCACTACAACCGACCAACTACAGTACGTTGTTGTTCTCTCTCTCTCTCTCTCTCTCTCTCTCTCTCTCTCTCTCTCTCTACACACACGGTATTTGTTTGTTCCTGAATTTTTATTTTTGTTTCATGTTTTGATGTGTTTTGTTGTTACTTGTTTTTTTTTTCATTTTACTTCTGTTTTTCTTTTCTAGGTGTTGTTTTTTAGCCAAATGTGAATTTGGGTTTAGTGTATATTAGTTAATTTGCAACAATCAGGTGTCCCCTAGTTTGCATGATGCTCTGTCGTGATGTTTTTTTTCCTCTGTTGGAAATAAATTATAATTTTGATCAAAGTCACAAACTAGATCATATGGAATGCTGGATTTATGATTTTTTGTTTTTGCTTGTCTCAAATTTTGTATTTTTTTTTCTTTTGATTTATGTATCTTCTACATGCTGCTATGGTGCTTTTGGTTGTTTCTGATTTTTTCTTTTAATGCATTGTGTCGTCCGTTTTTTTTGTAAAAATTGAATTGGGTTTACGAGTTAATTTTTATGGTTTTTATGTGTGCTTCTTTTATTGTGTAACAATTTGGTTTGGATGGAAATTAAGATTTATTTTATTTTGTCCATTTTATGGGGTGATTCTGTATACTATATATCGGTTGTTGTGTGGAAAGGTTCCCACTTTCTAGCTTTGTGTATGTGTTTTTGTTGATAGCTGAAATCTGTGAATGTATTATTGGATCATGTACTAAAAGTTTGAAATTTGTTTTATTCAATGAAGTCTCTGCTAATGGTGATTGTAATAAGTATATACTACCTTGTTTTGTATCTAAAGTACATTTTTGTGGGGTTTTTGAAGTTTTGGTTGAATTCTGGCTTTTTTGTGTGTGGGTTTTTTACCATTTTCAGACCGTTGTTTTATCACATTCGGAGTTTATGTCGACTTTAGTGTGTAGATCCTGACCATTTGAATGATATTAGGGCTTATTTGGTTGTTTAATGAAGTTAGGGATTCTGTTGGGTTTTTGGGGGCATTTTCACTTGAGAGTAGTTTTTCAACTCTTTTTATCATACAATTCTAAATTGGTAAAGTTTTCATACAACCCATATAAGCCACATTTGTTTTTATAAACAAAGCAAAAATCAGTATCATGTTAAAGTATTATTTTAACTAAAAAAAGAAAAATTTATATGGCGGGTGTTAAAAATAGCAAATAATACTTATTGGTCTGTAATAGTCCACAAAGAATCAATTAAAAACATTTGATTCAAATTTACATGTAAATTTTGATTTTTCAGTAGATAATTTCTCATCTTAGGAGTTGAGGGATCTTAGGCTTTATAATTCTATGGTGAACTCTCCTCTTCTACTCATGTTTCTTTAATAAGAAAAATTTTCATGTATTTTTCCCTCAAGCAGCAGCCTTTTTTATTCTATTGAATAGTGTCTTTTTCCTTGTGCATATCACTAATTGTACATGCAACTATAGGTATTTTTGTTTGATTTGGTTTAAAGAAATTTCGTCATCCCCAAAATTTCATGAATGTGAGTCCAACACTGAAAGTGTGAAATCAATGATAAGTTTTCGCGACTGCTTCATAATACAATATTTAATGTCAATCTCTATCCTTAAGTGGTTTTAATTGTTACTATTGAGTTGAGGTTGAATGTGGTTAACTTGTAATCGACTTCGTTGAACATTTAATTGGTTTTTTTATTTGCTTCCTGCCCTTCATTAGATTTTCATTTTCCTTTGATGTTGATACTATGAGTTTGTTAAGGTTTTGGTCCAATTTTCATATCTCTGCTAGTAAAGACTCTAGAGAATTGGTTAAAAATCGCCTAAGTTGACTCTGAACTTGACAAAGTCGATTTGGATTGGGTGGTCTTGGCCAAGTATGGATCTTTTATGTCAATTTTTTTAGGCACATGGAATCTTATAAAACCTTATAGGATCATATACCAAGTTGACTCAACTTGATAGCAAGCGTTGACTCATGTAAACAAGAAATGCATGAATTATTGACATTTTCATTTTCTTCACTCAATGGTTTCATTTATTCCAAGTATTTCATTGAAATTGCTTTGCTATTTTTTTTTTTTAAATTGCTTTGTTATACAGCTATGAGGTAGGTTCATGGTATATGATATATTTTTTCTATGATACACAGCTATGATGTGGGTTCATGATATCTGATATATTTTTTCTATGATACACAGCTATGATGTGGGTTCATGATATCTGATATATTTTTTCTATGATACACAACTATGATGTGGGTTTGTTTAGATCTTTTTATGCAAAGAAGAAAGGCATGAATTAGCAACTTTTTCATTTTCTTCACTCAATGGTTTCATTTGTTCTAACTTCTAAGTATTTATTGAAATTGCTTTGCTATTTTTTAAAATTGCTTTGATATACAGCTATGATGTGGCTTCATGAAATCTGATTTTTTTTTTTTGAAATTGCTTTGCAATGGATGTGTGGTGTTCAATAGGATGGACCCATACACATCATCCAGCACGGGCAAATGAGAATATGGGAGAGAAGAGATCCATCCAAGGACACAATTAGAAGATGATTACTTTATTGAAATAATGGAGAAGGAGACTAGGGCTACGGGGCAGGGGGGTTTAGAAAAATGGAAACGTATGGTGGACGCCATGACAAATAAATATGGGTCAAGAAACAGTGAAAGTAGGCTGAAACGCAAACATAAGTTCTTTAGGATCATGTACTTTGATATAAAAAAACTTGTGAATGTATCCGGTTTCGGATTGGATAATAGTAGGAGGATAGCAACCGCCGATGTTGCTGTTTGGAATGACTTCCTAGCGGTATGTAATTATTCTTTTGCATTGACTTTTAAAATGTTGACTATGTTTCAATATGAATATTGCTAAAAATAAATTATGGTCTTCTATATGCAGGAGAATGAATGGGCAAACAAATACCAAAACAAGACTTTGCCCGAGTATTCGGTGCTAAGTAAAATCTACGGGGGTGGAACGGCAGATGGGACCTACAAATCTATTGGGGGTGGCATTAGAATTGAGCCAAAAAGGCCCAACATTGCATTATCTTGTGACCCCCCATTAGAAGTCCAGGATGGACGAGCTAGTATCATCTGGATAAAAAAGACGACGGTCCCATACTTCGCTAGGAGCACATCGCCTATCAAAGCAACCAGCCCTCATTGAGTCCATGTCTGTAGCTATGATAGAGATGGCCCATGGCATTAAGACGCTGGCATGTGACAAGCCTCCAGTAGAGTCCAAGGCTAGGAGAGATGCCTGTAAAATTGTTGAAGGCATGTGGAAAGTAGGCGAAGTTGGTGATGATATCCTTTTAATGGATGCAAGGATCTTCTACGATTCTACAAAAGCGGAGATGTTACTAAACTTGGAGGATCCATGGATACAAAAGGCTTACTTAAATGACGAGATGAAACGCCTCCAATAGAGTTCTAATTGAATATGTTTAATTTTAACATCATAGACTGTTACTTTCATTTGTAGGTGGATAACTTATATCATTTTAATGTCAAATATTGCTTCATAGTTTGCTTTACAGATGATGACTTCTTTCATTTGTGTGATGGTTTTACTTTATGGATGATGAAAGAGATGGCTTCTTTCATTTGTATGTGGATGACTTATTTGATTTTAATGTCAAAGATTGTTTCATAGTTTGCTTTATAGATGATGGCTTCTTTCATTTGTATGTGGATGGCTTCTTTCATTTTAATGTCAATATTGCTTCATGGCTTGCTTTATTGTTGTGGACGGCTTCTTTCATTTGTTGTTATGGATCCCCAACGACATCGATTGGCGGTAATATTATGTGTTGTACATGCAATGTGTTGCATTGCATATATCATTACCAAAACGAGGAGGCGTGTTCATACTTCAATTTTTACTAGGTCCAATTATATCCGATACTTGCTGTCAGGGTACCCTCGTAAGTGCTTCGACAAGTTAAGCATGGAGAAAAGTGCTTTTATCAGTTTATGTAATTTGTTAAAGGAGAAGACAAACATTACAGATACAAGATATTTGGCAATTGATGAACAAGTAGTCATATTTTTAAGCACTGTCATACACGATCAACGAAATAGGGTGGTCCAGGAACGGTTCCAACATTCAGGGCAAACGATAAGTTACTTCTTTAATGGAGAGTTTTAAAAGCGATCTTAGAATTGGAACTTTTGTTCCTGCAACTTCCAAGCAATGAAACACTTGCCCACATTGCTGGTGATACATTACACTTTTACCCATATTTCAAAGTATGCGAGTATCAAGTATTTACATTTTCATTTTCACATCCACATCTTACTAATATATAAATAATGGTGATTTGTTTGTCTTAATAGGATTGTGTCAGAGCTATTGATGGGACTCTTATCCCTGCTCCAGTTCGTAGTCGATTGCATAATCGTTTCCAAAACAAAAAAGGTTTTCTAAGCCAGAATGTTATGGTTGCGGTTGGTTTCGAAATGCGCTTCCATTATGTACTCGCAGGTTGGGAAGGATTCGCATCATATTCTAAAGTCCTATATGATGTAATTAGTAATGGACGAAGTAGGCTTGTAGTGCCTGAGGGTAACTCGATTATATTATTTTTTGTTGCTTCGGTTTGTACAATATTTGATAGTGTAATATATGGCTTTATAATATACTCATTGCACAAATATGGAATAGAAAAATATTACTTTGTAAATGGTGGCTATCCTACTATGCATGGTTTTATAGGACCATATTGAAGAGTCCGTTACCATCTAAATAAATTTACTTCAGGCCCACGAGCTCCTCAAAATCACAAAGAGTTATTCAATAAACGGCATTCGATTCTTAGAATTGTGGTGGATAGGACATTTGAGCTTTAGAAAGCCAGATTTTTAGTACTCAGGAGTCAAATACAGTTATCCTATACGAACATAGGTTGATGTAGTTGTTGCCTGTGCAATATTGCACAACTACATCATGATGACACAAGGAGCCGATAGCAAAAGAGAGTTGCATTTTCGAAGGAGGGTTGAGAGTGAACTGATAATTGACGGAAATTATGGTTTCTAGCAATTGACTCAGGGGCAAGCTGATCGCGAAGATGGTGTTAGTCTGCGAGATGCCATAGCGATGCAGTTGTGGGGGTCCTACCTAAGTCGCTAGAAGTTATCTAACCCATTTTTTATGTTGAAATAGCAAATATATCTTTTTCTTGCGAACTATATTTGTGTTAAACTGACCTTTTATTGATTTTCAATTATGTATGTTCAAACTATGACAGGTTATTGTTGAACTGTTGTATTCATTCAATTGCATTTTCAATTATGTATGTTTAAACTATTAAGGGACAAACAACAATGTTGGTTTATTGTTGAATGACTTATATTTTTAGGTTGAGATATAGATGCAGCAGTGGTGAATGTAAGTAGTGCTCAAGTTATTATAGGTGATTGTTGAATGGACTGATTTCTAACTACTTGTATTGTGCATGTGTATTTGAATGAGTTGATTTCTTAATGCTTGCATTTCAATTATGTATATTTAAACTATTACATGTTATTGTTGAATGATGTATATTTTTGAATTGTGAATGGCGTATATGATGTGGGTTGAGATATAGATGCATCAGTGGTAAATATATGTAGTGCTCAAGTTATTACAGATGATTGTTGAATGGGCTGATTTCTTATTGCTTGTATTGTGCATGTGTGTTTGAATGGGCTAATTTCTTAGGGGTTGTATTTTAATTATGTATGTTTAAACTATTATAGGTTATTGTTGAATGATGTATATTTTTGAATTGTTAATGATGTATATGATGTGGGTTGAGATATGGATGCATCAGTGGTGAATATAAGTAGTGCTTAAGTTATTACAGGTGATTGTTGAATGGGTTGATTTATTACTGCTTGTATTGTGCATGTGTGTTTGAATGGGCTGACTTCTTAGTGGTTGCATTTTCAATTATGTATGTTCAAAATTGGACGGCTGGATGGTAGGGGGAGGATAGAACTTCTACGCTATAGGGAAAGTATAGAAACCTTTCCCTCAAGTTATTACAAAAAAATAATATTGTATTTTACTTTCAATTGATATTGTATTCCAAAAATAATATTCCACAAATTAATAAAAACATAACAATATATATGTCTCAATTTTAACATTTACATCTTGCCTATTACTTAAGCTAATGCAATACATATACCCGATTCTTTTTTAACTTCTTAGGAGGTTATCAAACACAGAAACCAAGAACTTTTTAAACACAGAAACCCGAAACTTCTTTGGACTTCTCAAGAAGTTATCAAACACAGAAACCAGGAACTTCTTAACTTCCCAAAGATGTTATCAAACACAGAAACAATGAACTTCTTCAGGAACTACAAAGTTATAATTCTTCAATAACTTCCAATTTTCAGTTCGTGTTCTTGCTTTCAGTTATCAAACCTGTCCTTAAAGAAAGGTGTAATAGGGAGAGAAAAGAGAGAAAACCTTATGGTTGGGGAGAGAGATTTAGCAAAGAAGAGGAAAAATGAGACACGTAATACGAAAATAGAGGGAGAGAAGAGGAAATCTTGCAGGTAAGGGGAGAGATTTAATAAGGAAGAGGAAAATAAGACACCTCACAAAAATAGAGGGGTATTATTAGAAATTAGGACAGGTGATACAAAACAAGGGGAATAAAAAAAAGTGTAATAAGGAGAAAGAGAAGAGAGAAAATCGTGTGGGTAGGGGGAGAGATTTATTAAAGAAAAGGAAAAATAGGACACATGACACAAAAATAGGGGGAGAGATTTAATAAAAAAGAGAAAGAATGCGGCGCATGGCATAAAAATAGAGGGGTATTTCTCTTGCATAATGTATAACTAATGATGTGCATGTGTATTGCACGTGAAATTAATTTAATTATAAAATAAATTTTTATTTTGAAATAATATTTTAAAAGGACTTTCAATTTTTGAGAGAGAGCTTCTAATAGATTCATCTTCACATAATTATAGAGAGCAGATAGACCTACTTTGCCTATCTTAGATAAAAATAATCGAGAAATACAAAAATATGAATATTTTTCTCTTATTCTAATTTAACGCATTCTGCATATTTATGGGTTAAACGAAAGCCCAATAACTTCACTATTATGTTTTTTTTTCTTTTTAATTATATCATTCACTAAATTAGTTTTACTTTTATTAATATATATTATTTATTTATAAGTTAGTAGTATTGTGATAAATTAACAAATCTAAAGATGTAAAAAAAAATAATAATAAAGAAATTATCTTTTATAAGTTAGTATTATTTTAATATAATTAATTTCATTTTTAATTACAAAAGTACATATATTATTCACTTATAAGTAAAATTTATTAAAAATTAGAAAATATGAAAATACAAAAATATGTCACATGATACATATAATAAAATTATAATAAACGTGTATCTATTGCAATCAAAAGTAATCATAGTGGTGCTATTATTTATTTTTCCTCCTTTTATGATAGTAAAAATTTTATTCTTATTTTATTTTATTTTGAATTTGGAAAAATATAGAACAAGTACAAGTAGAAAATGAAATAAATAGAAGAAATAATTTTTACACAAAATATAAAAAATTTCTTTAAAATTGAAAACAAATAACATTAATGATTTCGAATATATGAAATAAATTTACATGAGATGGAAAGCTACATTTTATATCATACATTCAACCGCTCACTAAATAGAATTTTTTTTATTGAAATATGAAGAAAATAAAGTATAATATGTAAATGGAAGTTATGACAAAGAAAAGTTTTGAAACATGGAGGAAAGAGGTAGAGAAATTTTAGGAAAGTTGATTTATTAGGCCGGGGAGAGAGTGGAAAGTTGATTTATTAGGAAAGAGGAGTATGGAGGTAGTGAGAATATTGGTGAGGAGGAAAAAGAGAAAGAAAATGGCATGAGGGAAGGAGATTTATTAGGATAGAAATTAGGAAAGTTGATTTATTAGGAGAGTGAGAGTAATACATGAGAATATTGGTGAAGAGAAAGAATAGAGAGAAAAACATGGGACAATTGTAGTATTATATAAGTATATATTTTATAAAATTCAATAATTATTATTGAAAATTATAATAAAAGTAATTTATTTTTGTTACTTAGTATATAACCAAATTGTTACAATTATAATATTAAATATATTTATTACCTAGAGATTATTATTTTCTTAAAAATACACTACACTTGTACGATTCATTGTAGACACCCCATTTTGAATTTGGTTGAGAATGACGGTATTTTTTCAATTAATTCGACGTACAATCTACTGTTTCATGATAGGATTCGGTGGAGTAGGCCATTATTGAAGAGAATATGGTGTTAGAAGGTTCCTTTCAAAATTCAAATTTTTTTATGGATTTTTCTTCAAGTATAATTGCTTACTGTGGATAAGATCATAAAAAGGGGCATGGTTATTACAAATGTTTGTATACTTTATGACGAAAATGATGAGAAAGGAGATCATCTTTTCCTTCATTGTCCTTTCTTTTCTCACCTCTGGATATGGGTCTTTCAAAAAATTGGGCATA